TGGCTGAGCTGCCACCAGCCCCACGGGGCAGATGCCACACTCACTGCACCATCACCGTGCTCTTTGCTGCTGCAGCACCTGGCCTGCTCCCAGCTCTTCCCACTGAAACCCGATGAAAATTTCATCACAGAACTTGGCTAAAACCGGGCAGTGTCAAGGCCACGTCGCTAAGCCAAGGCCTGGTGATCACAGAGACACCTTTTCAACTCAACTGTCCCCTCTTGCCTCCTACGTGGTTGCTATTTAAAGCAGTGCCTCCAAGTTCTGCGGGTGGATCCCTGCATTAAACCCTGAATGTAGCTATTAGGAGCCGTGCTCACTTAGCAGGAACTGAAATCTGAGTTGGAAATTGTAGCCAAATTCCAACACCCTCCTCTCCTGTTTATGCAGCTCCTTCCCACCATGCAGCAAGACGTACGTTAGTTCACTGGGTACGTTCTGTCTCTGCTGAACTGCCTTCCTGCCCCCACAGCTTTCCTCCCAAACTTTCTAAATGAGAAGGCTCCAATCCCCGGTGTGATTCCCACTTTCTAAGAGAACCTCCCCTTTTTTTCTCTAGAGGAAGCTGAGAGCTCACCCTCCTGTCCCTGGGGGTGCTGCAGCCTCCACTTCCAGTACAATATCTGGGAATATAGGATTGCAGAGCTGCAACCTGAGAATAACAATTGCATAGGGGGGTAGGAGAGATATGGCCAAACACCTCATTCACACTAGAAACTGTTTAAAGACAATAAGCTCTTGACACTCTTCACCTTTACTAACTCATTCTGTGGAGACTGGTCGCCGTTACCTGCACAAGAATTAAAAAACCCAAGTCAATCCCCTCTCCTTGTCTTTGGCATTTGGATAAACCAAGCTATAGGCAGGTTAGAGTGGGGCTCCACATCCCAGCAAACCACACCACACTGCTAAGGAGAGGCTTCTGATGGGCCTTCAATGCAGCCCTACTAAGAACTAAATATATGGGGATTTATAGGGTCCTTCTGCTGTCTGAGCCCACACCTGCCCCTTTAGGCTTGGGCTGTAAGGGTGGAAGACCTGTATCACTGAGGGGGCAGATGGAAGCAGAGAATATGCACAGGGTTTGCAGAGGTCCCTAGGAATTCTTCTGGGGGTCCTGCACCCTGTGCAAGTGTTAACAGTCACATTGCCTTGTCTGGAAGCTGATTACTTGCCTTTGAAGTGACTGGGTATGGTTCTGTGATCAGCAAGTGTCAAGTTATACAGCTGTTAAAAACTAACAGGGGGGCACTTAAAACCAGGCAGCGTCACCCAGGTGGGAACAATGGCTCAGAAGTGACTTCAGAGAAAGTGGTGGAGATCCAGAGCACACACGGTTCCTGTGCCAGAGATGGGGCAGCTCTCCTTGGAGAGCTCCACACAGAGAGAGAGCCCTGAGCTCTGGCGTTCCCAGCCACAGGCAGAAACCAAATGCCCCTGGAACTCAGCCATCTGCTGTAAGGCTGTGCCCTAAACCTTTGGAGGTGCTAAGCCACAAGCAGCCACATGCAGCCTGGCAAAGCCCGCTCGGAACCTTCTCCCCTGCCAAGGAGACCAAAGGAAAAAAAAAACAACCCAACAAAACAACCCATAATTAAAAAAAAAACCAAAACCAAACCCCCAAAACCAAACCCCAAACCCAACCCAACAACCCCCCCCGAACAAGATCCTAAAATTTCAGACGATGTCCGTTTCATGAAAAACGGGGAAAGAATTTAGCTGGAGACATTTTGCCACCCGAGTGCCGAGTTTGCTGGATGGATAACCCATTGCCACTGCTCTCCCTTTGCTACTATATACACACTGACGCCGAGGTCCATAGATATCTTGCAATGCCCTGTGCTTGACCTCTGAATGGGAAATGCTTTGGAATGTCCATAGACGGGAGGATGGAACTCGAGGGAGGAGGATTCCGGGGGAG